CAACTGACTGTTTTTAAACACAACAAAATCACAGCTTAAAAATAAATTAGAACAATTAAGAAAAAATTGACCCTTCTTGGAACCAAGAGCAGATTGGACAATACAAGCAGCCATGGGTTTTCTGAAAGCCAAATTAATAGTTCTGGAGCATCCCAAGTATAAAGGGACTGACAATTTGTCTCATGACCTGTCAGGTGATATCTATGGCCCCTGAGCTGCTATCATCTTTGTAGCAATAAAACACACACTTCTAAGATAAGAGATAAGGCTTCCTTTCAAGAACTACTGGTATTTTCAGTGCTTTAATTATTCTTCATATGCCCTTTTTCACCACATACTCTGGTGATTTTCCTCTCAAGCAATCAGAATTAAGAGGAAGTATCCCAAGCTAATGTGCAGTTGTAAAAAGACAGACTTGTGCATTACACAGATGTAAAAACCACACTGCAAACTTCATGATTCAAGAGGTTTGCAAGCAGATATTACACACATCTTCCACCAAAGTGCTGAAGTTTATGTCTCCCAGAGAGTATTTCAGAGCACCCAAAGGATTGCTGACCTTCCTACAACAGTCTCGCCCATCTCCTAAATGTACCGATTTGGGACTAAATCATACTATACTCCAATACATAGCCTTGTTTTTCTCAAATATTTTTTTTTTACAATCCTTACTATACCAAATTCTACTAAATTTCAGTTTTATCATATCTCTTGAAACTGAGCCCTGTCTTCTGAGCTGCTTTAAAAATTACAAGTTCTGCAAGGACCAGTATCAGGTTTTGGAACATAGAGGGTATACACAAAAAAATTGACATAGATAAGGGAATTATGCACACATGCAAAAAGGGAGATTCAGAAGCTTACATTTAGAGACCTACATTTTGAAAAATGTATATATGTTCATTGGAAATTTTGCTGCACTGCCCTACATCTTGCCCAAAAATCTTAGTACATTAAGCAGTGAACAAAACTACTGAAAATCATCTTCAATTTAGAATACCGCTACCCTTTAAATATGGAATAATTCAGAATGGAGTTATTCCTTTAAAAATGGAATAACAGCAACTTTTGCTTGCTGACTGTTACTCATGTAACCCAATAACACAATTCACTGTCTTTTAATTAAAAACTTACTGAATTTCTGTAAGCAAAGCTCTTCAGACTCATTCCCAAATAACAGGATACAAATGTTCCTGTAATTTTAGTTCAAGGTTGTGAAGAGACAGAATATGGAAAACCATACACGATTTAACTGGATTCTTCCAAACATTACAAAGCATTTAGGAGCCATGGATGCAAATTAAAATCAGATTCACACCTGAAAAATGACATTTGACCACATAATCAGATTTTTTTCCAAGGTTAAAAAATAGGAAAAAAAAAAAAAAACACAAAGGAGGAGGGGAAAGGCAGATAATTAATTTGATACATATTTTGGGACATACTCCCAAATGATGTACAATTCAGGCAAGCTATGTTTACTACATAAGTACCAAAAACAACCCATTGTTTCCCAAAACACAGTAGCCTTTCTACGGAGGACAGAGAGGATCCAGAACTCCACAGAAGCTAAAACTGGAAATAATGAACACAGGATTTAGTATTTACTGAACTGCAGATGCACTTAGCACTGATTTTAGTTACATGAATATCAGATTGAGACCACTGGATGAAAATGGACTTCCCTATATTCCTTCCCCTTGCCTTTTTTCCACCTATCACTTCCCCTTTAGTTTACTTCTCTTTGTCTAAAAGGATCACTGTTTGAAGTAATCATCCAGCAACAGGCGTTTCCTCCAAAAACATTTTCTTTATTCCAGACAAATGTCAGTCCTTAAGTGCAGTAATTTGGTTTAAGGCGATTCTTCCCTTTTACACTGCCAAATCAGAAACTTGAAAACACTTCCTTAACATCTTCAATTTCAATACCCTAATTATGGTTCTGTAATACTCAAAAGGATTAAAGTCTTGAAAATATAACACTTGGTCCCCTTAATATATGCTGAATTATTTCCTGCTATGCAAAGGAGAAAACATTTGCAACACCCTGGTGGACTTACGGTTTCCCTTTCAGGATACCCTTTCACATCAGGTTTATAGCAGTATCATCAGCCTAATATCTAAGCTTCAGTCCTAAAAAGAGAGTAAGTTTCGGCTTTGTTTCATAAAGGTATTCAAACAACTTTCAGTGAGACCACTCTCTATGTAAAGAAAGAGCTCAGTATTAATTCATTTATGGACTTCCTCCTGGCCGCACCACACACTCATGATGTCCTACACAAAAACACCCCACCAGATAACTGTCCAGGAAACCACAGAAGTTTCCATTCACCTTTGGTTTAAGGTAAATGTTTAACTCTTTTAAAAACTGAAGTATTTCTCTCTCAATGATTCTACACTTACATCACTGATGAAGAAATACTGCTGCTCTTCCATCAAAATCTATGCAAGAAGCCAAAACCAAGACTGTGGCTGGAAATGAGCAGTACTATTAGATAATTTAACTAGGTGGCAGGACAGCAATGAATTCCCTGAATCTAATTAACCATGACAACTGTTCAGGCAGGTAAATATGTTAACTTGATCAACACTTCATCCTCGCAATGGCACATCTAAACTAGTTCTTCCCACTTATGAAAAAGATTTTATTTGAACACAGGTTGGTGTGATCGGCAGAAATCAAACGCCTGATCAAAACAGACTCAGTTGTAGAACTCTGTATCCATTTTATCAAGCAGTTTTTGTCTACATCACAGGTGTAATTCCCACTTTGTGATTTCATTTCAGTCTTAGGCCTTTTAAGAGCAGGGATTTCATACAGAAAATGTCTGAAAGATAATTTCCAGTTCCAAATATTCTTGGCCCAGAGACCAGAGCCTTTGTTGCTCTAAGGTGAAACACTCTCAACTGAAAATAACAGAAACCGAGTGAAAGAAGAGACTTTTAAAATCAGCTACTATTGGCTTCCCTTTGAAGCGATCTTGATTGCTGTAGCATGTTTCACCTCTCACATCCTACTTTGTTCATCCTCCTGCTTAGGTCCAACAACAGGATTATGTACAAATTACTTTAAGAACAGAAGCAAAGGATAAATTAATTTTTCATGTATTTCATCTTGCCAACCTGTTGCCCTTATGAAATTCAGGCCAGAAAAATAATGCTTGTAAGATTCCAACTAGTACGTATTACTTTTCTGCTGATGGAGATCATCGACTGTCTTTGTATCTAACCTGTTTTCTTTGATGAAAGCCATTGGGTTTGCAGCCATTTTCCTTCTCTACATTAAGCCCCGACCTATTTCTAACACATCCCTTTGAGGGTGAAGAGGCATGACATCTGAATTTTACAGACATATCCACCTTCTCAATTCCACATTTCTAATAAGTAATTAGCATATGATTATTTAAAAAAGCTTCACAATAGGTCAAAAAGAGATCAAGAAGTACCCATGCTAATTACAGAGGTTACATCTTCCTCAGGAGAGCATTAATGCCTGAGGTAAGCCATACCAGCTCCCACCCACATACATGAGGCATTAGCTTTTGCTGAATACTTATCACAACATCATATTAAAATACCAGATCAAGACAACTAAACTTTCAAATCATAATGGTAACATATGCTCACCTTTTTCACAGAAAATTAATAGGAAAATATTCTACTAAACACTAAGTATTGCCAGGAAATAGAATGTGACTATATTATAATTATTTCTACAGCTCTTGCATACCTTCTACTTTCCTCTTCATTAGCAATACTAACTGGTTGCACAGCAATTGTTCCCACTTCCTGGGAAGCAAGTGTTGAATGGTATAAAATCCTGAGCTAACATTGCATCATTGCTTAGGAATCTATACAACCTGCTAATTCAAGTCTGGAACTGTAAATTGATTCCTGTAAAGGTCTCGAATACTGCTATAAAAGCTAGTTTTCTCCCTCTTGGAATAATATCCATCACCCTTAAACCTCTGATACAAGCAGAGACAATGTTTCCATTCCTGTTAGGAAATGCTCTCCAGGAGTAAAGCTATCAACTAGTTTGATCTGATACAGCCCAGTTCACTCAGCATGCTGCAAAAGGAGTCTTAAGAGTGGCAATGGTCTGATTTTCATGTTACTGATCTTACAGATGTTGTTATCACGGCAGCTTTTATGAAAGCCTTTTTGCCATTCTTCTACTAATTCTTGAGCTTAAATTTTGTAAATCGTCCCGTGTTGAATGCACAATATTAGCAAAGTTAAACAAACAACTTTTTAATCTCCCACACTCCTTAGCAGCTCGGTGAAACTGATAGTTAAGTACTTGCACAGGACTATTGACAAATACAGCTTGTAAGCTTTTAGTAATGTTTATGAATGTTGCTATTATTTTGGAAGCTACACAAATTGCACATTACCATGCATCAACAACCAAGCCACAAGTCATTAAAGCACAGAAGTTACCCATGGGTATTAAACCAGATCTGCTTGTCCACCCCATGTATCAAACACAGGTAACACTTGCTTTCTTACCATTAAACCAACACTATCTGCACAAAATTGAGAGAGATTTGTTTTCTTCAACACCTTCACAAAATACAGTCACACCCCTAAAAGCCCCTTGCGAGGGAGTTGCATGTAGATCACATAGCTGCTTTAACAATAATCTTGGTTTCATTAAACCTGATGCAAATTTCACCGCTGCTGTCAGTAGAAACAGCATTTTCTACCCCTGAAACAAGGACCAGGTGAAAGAAAGCGGTGAGGCTGCCTTAATTTTTTCCATTTTCAACCAGAAATTTGGATATCAGTCATAGCTATAATTTCACCTTTCCACGTTTCTTGGATTTTTCACAGTTTCAAATCAGTTGATTAAAAACTACATCAGGTTTAAAACGTTTATACAAGTTCCTGGCATTTGTACATTTGCTATGCACTTTTGGCCCATAGATCGACTGTGGGGAAAACACTACAAGTATAAAACCAAAGCAAACTTCCTGGTGACTGTACACAAGCCTTACCTGCATCATGGTAACAACGTGACAAGGATTTAGGAGGTAAATGACAGTCCTGGTAGCAAACTTGAACCCCATCTCCAGCCCAAAGATGAGACACAGCACCACCAGCAGCACATTCTTGCCCAAACTCTCCTGCTTAGTCTGGGGCTGCAGCAGCAGATGACCCTCCAGGTCCCTCAAGTGCAGCTGCCTGAGTTTCCAGAGGGACAGAAGGATTTCCACGATTCCCACACTGAGGAAGACCACGCTCTCCAGAAGACGCTGCTGCCCAGAGAGAAAGGCCGCGCACTCTGGCCCCCCGTTACCAGCAAAGCTGGGGTCCACACCCCCATACATCCAGTCCAAAAGATTATGGAGGCTGTAACGAGACATGGTGGGATGGTGCCTCTTCTCCTCCCCGACACTGTCCAGGAACAGGTAGCAGCAAGATGGAATCAAAGCCAAAATGCTGCCGAGCTGATGGACCATGAAATGCAAGGACGGCCTCTGTGTAGTCCCCGTCCTCCCTCAGCTTGAGGAGAAACAGCTCAGCTCCGGGCGAGGCTCATTTTCGGCTCTTCCTTTCGATACCAGGACGCGACCCTCAAGCCTGCGAGAAGGGAGGAGCCACAGATGAATGGAGCCTGCGAGCAGCAGCAAAAGCCCCTGGCCTGAGCACCCCTTCCTCTTCCCGCCTGGCTGGCCCTGGCTGTCCGCCTCCTTCGCACTCCCGGCTCTCCCCTTCCCTCCGGACAACGCTAGGAGTTGTCTCTGCGGCGCGGCCGCCGTCTTCAACCCCCTCAGCCCGCCCAACGGCTCTCCCGCGCGCCCCAACGGCCGCGGCTCGCGCCGCGCTGGGCCCCGTACCTCGCGGCGGGGGCGGGCACCGCTCCGTTAGGGTGCGCGGCTCGGCCCAGCGCCCCCAGCCATGGCGCCGGCCCCGGCGCGGGAAGGGAAGGAGGAGGAGGAGGAGGAAGCAGCAGCGCTCCCCTCAGCGGCGGCACGGCAGAGAGTACAGCCCTGGGCGGGCGGGCCGCTCCCCGCCGCCTCCCGCGGCTTTCCCGGCCCCTTCCCAACGTCGTAGCATCACCCCACCGACGTGCCTGACTCACACCGAAAAATGGACGAGCCCCCCCCGAATTGGCTGCTCCCGGCCGCCCGCTCCTCCCTCCCTCCCTCCGCCCCGGCTGCTCCCACCTCCCTCCGCGGCTGCTGTACCTCAGCGGGCAGTGCTCGTCTGCTCCCCGCGTCCTCGGCTTCCTTCTGTTACCCCTGCCTTCACCCGCTGCTTCTCCTCACATGCAGCCTCCCGCGGCCCGTTCCTGCCGCCGCCACACGCCCAACTCCGCTCTGTGCCGCCTCCGAAGGGGAAGCCGAGGGCCCGGCACAGCTTCCCGCTGCTCCCCGGCCAGACCCGAGCCGGCAAGCGGCGTTAACTCGCTGAACGAGTTCCTCAAGTGCCACTGCAGCGGGGGTTAGCTGGCCAAGAAACTGCGGCCACGAAAGGCCAAGCTCGAGAGGGGCCCCGGTGTGCGCGCCGAGGTGATGTATTCCCATCTGTGAGCCTTCAGCAGTGGAGGCCTGGCTCCCGGCTTGTGGCTTTGTGAAGCCGCTGTAGCGCAAACACTGAACTCTGTTCCCATCTGAAAGGCAAAGGTAGGTGAAGATCCAGGTAGATAAAGTGCATTAAGGGGGGGTGTTGTTGAGTTACTTAGAGCTAGGAATGGACACACCTGAGAGCTGGCTATAGATTTTACTTCATACAACCTGCTCCCCTCCTTGGCCGTGCCAGGGCTGCCCTTCACCCAGCAGCGCTATGACAGCACTGCTGCTGGCCAAACCATAGAGCCTATTTAATTGAAAAGAAAAGCTCAGTCTGACCCATAAGTTTTAACAGACCAGGCAGATACACCCACTGGCTGAGTGGAGGTGATTTCCATACAGACGGAGAGGCAGCAACCCCTGGTCTGTAAAGCTGGAAGCACTGCGTGTGTGCCATCCTGCTGTGAAAGAAATGACTCCTTTTGGGGGGAAAGAAGGGTGGCCCAGCAAGCTTTTCCAAGATTTGCAAGGGCTTCTTTCCATAATTAAAATTGATAAGAATTCCTCTAGAAAATGCTGTGTTCTCAGCCATTGCTGATTCATTAGAACACCTCTCATTCATTTAATTACGCACAAACCTGCTACAAAAAGGGGAATATGAAGAAGTTGGATGCACAACGTGAATAGGTGCAAACACCTCCTCTGTTAACTGGACCTGCACATGCCTGCAGCACAGACTTGCTGCATTAACCTGCTTCACAGCCTGAACAATCAAACCAAGCAGCTCAGCATTAACACCAATATTCTGGCAGTTCTTTTCTTCCGCTATTTCCAATAGAGGATGCCAGTGAAGAATAACTGGCTGAGAGTGTGAAAGTGGGCAGTATTTTGCCCACAAAACAGAACATTTGCAAAATGACAGCTTGCTGTCCATGGAAGAGGAAGGAGAGAGAACAGCTAAATAAAAACAGATGTCATGAAAGCTAAAGACTTAAGCAATTAATAGTTAAGATCTCATAGGAGGGAAGTCTAAAGAAAGGAGTTAAGAAAAGGAACAGTGCTTTAGGAAAATAATTCAAAGGGCTCATTTATCCCAATTATGAGTAAAATAGAAATAATAGTAAGGTTAGCTTGATAGGGATGGAACCAAAGAAATACAGCTTGATCAGCGTAATAAACTTGCATCCCTGAAAAGCTCCTGGGACAAATAATCTCACAAACTATTATTAGCAACCAAATGATAACCAGGGAATGATAGCAGTCAACATGGATCTGTCAAAAATAAATGACACCAGATAACTTGATTTTCCCCTCCATTAAGGAACAGGCCTTGTAGATAACACAGAGCCTGTTGCCAGTTTGATGAGGGTTTTGACACTTTCATGACATTTTCATTTAAGAGTTAGAAATATGGTCTGGATAAATGCCTTGTGAAGTCTATACAGAACTGACTGGATAGCAAGTAGTTCACTGTCAAAAGGAAAGAATGTATTGCTGGGTTTCTGCAGCCTGTCTTTAGCCTGGGTCTTTTTGTTATTAACAATATAAATAATGGAACATTATTTATTAATCTTGCAGGTGATACAAAGCTGAGTGGGATGTATTTAAATTAAAATAGTCTTTAAAAAAACTGAAGAATATGTTCAGCAAGATGGATCATAGTTGAACACATATTGGGATAAGCCACCTGGTGTAAATCATCACTGCCTTTCCTCTTCCCCTTGCTACTCCTTTCCTCTCCCACTGCCTTCTGCCAGCATAAACTCTTCTGGGGCTCTGTGGTTGACTGTATGAGGAAGCTGATTAACATTACTGTTGTAACTCCAGAGGTAGCTGCAGTCTGGAGCACTTTGCTGATCAATTTGATCCTGGTTTGGGTCGTGGTGATGGATGAGGTGACCTGCTGATTTCTTGGTTTGCTGTAATTTTCCACTCATTGGAATGAAGGAGCATAGTTGATATGAACTGGACATCCTGGTGCGACTGATGTTTCTTTGGAACAGCACAATGTTGTTAATTCATATTCAGGTTGAGATTCACTATAAATCCAAGAGATCTGGTTCTCTGATCTTGATCTGCTGAGTGGCTTAGGCACAGTTCCTCCATTTTCTCTGTTCCAGTCTCTTCCTCTTCTTTGAAAAGCACTCTGTAATCTGTGAATGAGAATTTAGTGTTATTGACTGAACAAAAGCCATTGTTCTTTTCTGTTTGTTAACCATTTCCTCTCATCCTTTCACTAAGTAATTTAGGCTGTAAGACCCATTGTAAACAAATATATCTCCTATGTCAATAGAAATAGCTCTCTAAAAGCAATAAATTCCTGTAATGAAAATGCTTGCACAAGAGCCTCAGGCTTGTTCTTATATCTAACATGAGATTTATTTTTCTGTCTATGGCTTCTGGAAATGCAAAATATATAAAAAAGTAAAATCTAATGTTAATCTATGAAGAAATGCCAGGGTTCTGAGTGTGCCACTAGGCTTAACCACCCGAGCAGCCTTGTGTGGGGCTCCTACTCACAGCCCATCTGCCTGGGAGCTCCATGGCTCTGCACCAGTTCTCACCCAAGCCTTGCCACAATTGGAGCCATAAAGCCATACTGGCACACTCAGGGCCCTGCCATTTCTTCATAGATTAACAATGAATTTCGCCTTTTTACATATATAGTAAACAGTCTTCCAACAGGGTGGCTAAGAAATGGTATTGAGCATAACTAAAGACTTGAGAAGAGAACATGAAACTTTGCCCTTTTGCTGCTCTTGAACATGACTGGGGGAATTCCACTGCAACAGGTAACTCCAGGTTCCAACTGGTGGCTATTATTAGCAACGACTGCCTAAAGTAATTCAGCTTATCACAAAAGCTGCAACTACACGTGTTGTAGGTGTGAGCACACCCTTGTGGCTCATACATAATGATTCAAACTTGCCCAGCATTAAGGTGAATCTAACCTACAGTCAACATCCTGACCTAGAGAATGTCTTAACACCAGCCACATGGACATACGTGATTCCAGCTTCTCAACATGACTGACTCTGGTTAAGTGCTGATCACTTGTTTTGTTTTACTGAGCACAAATGTGGGAAATGGATGAGGTTTGAGTTCCATTTTTAAACGATCTTATTAAACTTCAGTGACAGCGCAGGAGAATATTAAAAGTAGTCTTCAAAACTGTTTAGGTTAGGAAAAACATCTAATCCTCAGTATTTCCTTCACTGGTAGTTTTCATAAGTGTAACATGCTCAAAAGAGCAGGAGCGAGAAGAAATACCAATGCTCTCTCTCCTAGGGCACAAGAAGATGCCTCCCAGCAAATCAGCAAGGTGGTATCTTTCTTCTTGCCTGCTGATATCAACAAGTGAAAAAATCAACAGCTAGTGGTTATATTTTCATTGATCCCTACAGCAAATGTGTCTCTCCCCAATAAAGAACATAGGTATTACTATTAGATATGCTATTATTATTAGGTTGGAACTAGATGATCTTAAGGTCCTTTCCAACCCTAACTATTCTATGATTCCATATACTTTTTCATGTTGAATTACCACCAGTTCACATTTTGAAAACTACATTTGCTGTTTGTTTTTGTCTTGCTAAAAATCTACGTTCACAGAGATTCTTCCATCAGTTGTTCTGACTCCCTTCTGTTTAGTCAGATGTTCACATGTACTTTTTATTAATTTAAAGAAAGGCTGTGGTAGTGTAATTGCTGATTTCCTCTCAAGGAATTTTCTTGAGAGCAAGATGAAAAGCTGTTGCATTTGTCATATCTCTCCCTGTCAGATAATTTTGCTAGAACATACACTAGACAATACTGTAAAAAAAGGTAAACTTCAGTGTGAAACATTCAAATGAGAAGCTTTAAAAGCATCTCACCCTTTCATGGGTTTTAATCCAATGGAGTGAAAAATAATTATATAAAGAACCAAGAGAAACTTGTTAGGTGACAACTGTGTGAGCCAGCTTGTTGTTGAATCACATTTCTGTCATGTTTGCAGTATTTGACTTATTTTTCCCTTACATAAGAAGCTGCAGTATTAATAGACACAAAACAGTTGGATGTAAAAGCAGGGAGAAATAAATATCATGAATGTGTGAGGTTTGCTTTGAGAGAAAGAAGTCACTGTCAACATCTCACCTGCATATCAATTAATTAGCTTCAACCCATGTTGAAGTTAAAAGGCCAAGCAGGACTGTCAGTAACTGTAACACAAGTTGAGGATGCATCTAAGAAATGGTGATGTGTTTCTTTGTAGTCTCATGTGTTAGATGAGTAAAGGCATTCTCTGAGGTTATTTGGAGCTTGGGGAAAAATATTTTTGTTGAGATCAGTGTAAGAAAAAACAAAATGTGTCCTTCAGAAAATGAAAGTGTCCATCCAGATGTTATCTATGTGTTGTTCTTAAACTTGAAGTATCTTGAGAATTAACAGAAGAATAACTGCTCTTTTCACACATTGGTAACTAAACATTAGTTTAAAGTGCTCTGTGACATTCACTCCCTTTTGTGTTTGCATGCTCTATTGTTTAGCCCTCTTTCAGTTTTCAGGGCATTTGCTTTGTTTCATGTCCAGCACTAGGACCATAATATTGTGAAGTCTAATGAA